CCCATCCAACTGTATGATTCTATATGATGTTGGTAGGTTAAAACTGCGCATACAGGCAAGGGAACCCAGTGTAGAGATGGTGCTGGCTGGGTGCATGCAACTTCCTGCAGGTACATATTTCCATTCATGCCTGATGTTAGATTGGCTTGTTAGCTATGTTTGCTGATGGTGAAAACCCAAGAGGACTGCTAGAACTTAGGGTCATTTGATGAAGCTGAATGGTGAGTGATTCAGGTCAGACAAATGAAAGCACTTATTCATACAATGCATAATTAGTTTATGGCATTTGCTAAAATAAGAAGTGATGATGAATGACAGTTTAGATGGTTTTAAAGCAAGGATTAAGAAAAATCTTGAAGGGAAAGTATCAGTGGCTGCAATCATGATATGGGAATTCTGGGGTTGGTGGCAGTTTTGCTGCCCCATGATAGGGAAATAGGAGGATGTGCTTCCACATTTTTAGCAGAGATGGGCTGTTGTTCAGAAGCTGAGGGTATGCAACTCAATAAAAATATTGGGGAACACTGCTCCAAGATAAGCCACACTCAACGGCAGCGTCCTCTCTGTTCCAGCTCTGGGACTTCCTTGACCAGAACCTGCTGGCCTTGAAGATTCCTGAATGTGTCCAGATGTTTAGGGCCAAATTCCACAGATACCCATTGCTTTGAGAAGAACAGTGATAAGGAGTATATCAGAAAAATGTGGTTTTTAATCTTTAAATAAGGAAAACAAGACACACCAGGGACAAACTTATTGCAAGTCCTGAAGCAGAGTTGTAAAGCTTTGCTTATCTTTCCTCTCCAGGTCACAGACAGTGGGGTCCCTCCTCTCTCTTCATCTGCATTTGTAAATGTCCAGGTGACACAGAAAAGCATACACCCTCCTTCAGCCCTCCCACTAGAGATTTTTGTCACTACTAACGAAAGAGCATTCCGAGGTGGCGTTCTTGGTAAAATTCATGCCACAGACCGAGACCCTCATGATACCTTGCAGTACACCTTGGTGTCGCAAGCACCTGAAAAGAGACACTTCTCCGTGGGAGCCACAGATGGGAAGATAATTGTTGGTGATGGTCTCCCACATGGCCATTATATTCTGAATGTAACGGTCAGTGATGGCACCTTTGCAGCCACCACCAGTGTCCACGTCCATGTGTGGTCCTTCAGCCAGGAAGCTTTGGATAAAGCTGTGGTGCTACATTTCCGTCACCTCACTGCTGAGGAATTTATAGGGGACCACTGGCGCAACCTGCAGAGGTTTCTGGGAAACATCCTGGAAACTAGGCGGCAAAACATCCACATGGCTAGTTTGCAACCTTCTGGTGCTTCGGACGGTGTGGACCTCCTGCTCGCCATCGGAGAACCTCGTCATGCCTTGTATAAGCCCAGCTTCATTGGCAGCAGGATCTCTCAGGCAGCCGCAGAGATAGACCAGCGAGTGGGGCTACGAATAAAGAAGGTGACCCACATCCCCTGCCATGATGCAGACTGTGCCTCCCACCGGGTCTGCAGGGAGACAATCCAGCTCGATCCAGGCACGGTGTTCACTTACAGTACTGCCCGCCTCAGTGTGCTCACCCCTCGGCACAACCTGGAGCAAATATGTTCTTGCAACGGTGAGAAAGACTTCATATCAGTCGCCTGTCTATCTCCTGTGTTCCAATTCCTTCTGTCAGTGTTTGCCTCCTGGTAGAAGGCCCAGCATTCGTGTGTGTGTGCGTGCGCGTGCACGTTTGTCACAGTTGCATTGTTGTTTGGACTGCACAGACCACTCAGGTGTTTGTCTGGAGTGACGGAAGAACTCCTTCAGAAATGGACTTTAAAAAGAAAGCCCTAAAACAAATTGCTTTCTCCAGACTTAGAAAATATGAAATAACTCACATCTTAGCTCTGTGGCTGTCTCTGGGAGGGCCACAGCGTCTGATCTCCCTCCCACTCCCACTCCATGAGCAGCCTGCCTGCCTGCTGCCTCGTCCCCCATGCTATTTTCCTTCATCCCACATGCCCATATACTTGGGACTCTGTCTGCAGCCGCACTGGCGGGGAGACAGGGAGGGAGGGAAAATGTCCCTTCCCTTTCCAAGCTGCCGCTTTGTTTCAGGAGCCGAGTGAGGGACAATACATTTCTTGCAACTCTACTGCCAGAAGTTCAGTCCAAGACAAAGAAAAGCCCCAAGGCAAGCCTTTACACATTAGGAAATATTTATTTCGACTGAGGTCCTTTCGCAACATGATCTGCAGGGGCTGTGCAGAAGGATTACCGCCAATGTCTCTGTGTCTGGAAGCACATTAATGCCTTGCTGCAGTTGTGTTGTCGGGAAGTAGAATGGATGTGGTGTGGTGCGGACAATGAACCATCCTCCCTCTGCTGTGACCTCGCTAGATGTCTTTGCACAAGTCACTCCCTCTCAGCCTCAGTCGGCCCCCGGTGTGCAACATTGCGGCTTAGCTGCTCTGGGTTCCGTGTGAGGTAGAGTAGGACAGAGACCAAATGCATGCACTCACCCAACCTGCGTAGTAAACCTGTGGCTTCTGGATGTTGGACTGCAGCTCCCATCCTCCCTGGCCATTAGTCATGCTGGCAGGAGCTAATGGGAGTATGAGTCTAACAACATGTGAACACCTGGAAGTCCAGGCTGTTGTAAGGGTTACAGTGAGATACAGTGCCTTGCAGAAATACTCCCGTACTCTTTGATTTTTCCACACTTCGTTGTATTGCAAATTTGAACTGAAATGGATTTCATTGGCATTGTGACTACTTGCTGTACACAAGATACTCAACACTGTGAAGGTGCAATTTATGTTTATTGTGGCACAAAAGTTAAGTAAACAAAAACAAGCCAGCACCTTCTGCTTGCATAAGTATTTCCTCCTTTGCAAGGACATGGCTGAACAAGCCCTGGTGCAACCTTTTGCCTCCAGAAGTCACATGCTGTCAATAGCTGAGTGGAGTCCACTGATAGGCCACTCCAGTGTCACATGATCTCAGATTAACTTCACCTGCTCCTGGAAGCCCCCAGAGTTTGGTGGAAGGCTTAGCAAAGTAAGCAGCATTATGAAGACCGAGGAGCAAAAGCAGTTCCGGGATACAGTTGTGCAGAAGCACCAAGCAGGATTCGGTTATAAAAAAAATATCCCTGCTATTAATATTCTCCAGAGCAGTGTTGCATCTGTTACTACACAATGGAAAGATTATGGCTCACAGCAGCTCTGGCTACCAAAGGCCATCCTCCAAAACTCAATGAAGGGGTGAAGAGGGTGGTACTCAGTCAGAGAAGCAAGCAAAAGTACCATGGTGATGAAGAAGCAGGAGAGATCTGCAGCTGAGATGGGCAAAACTGCCCATGGCACAATTACCAGCTGGGCACTCCACAAAGCTGGAAGAGGAGGAGGCCAGAAACTTAGTCAAGGAGACCCACAGCTGAAGGTGCTGCCCAAGGTGCTTCTGCCAAGCATTGACTCGGGGAGGCAAATACTTAGGTAACCCACAAGTGCCAGCTCATTTTTGTTTCCTTAACTTCTCTGCACAATAAATATATTTTGCCCCTTTGTGGTGCTGAGTATCTTACATGCCCCGTGTGGTAACAGTGCCAATCAAATCCATCTCCATTCCAGGTGGCAAGACAACAGAATGTGGAAGGATCACGAGGGGCAGGGCGACTACTTCCACTGCAATAGGGGCATAAGAGTCTGAAGGTTTGAAAGTGCTACACGTAACACTCGAGGTGAAGGCAGCACATAACTAGATGTGACCTGCATGCCTGTTTCACAGGACTGTCGTCTTTCCTTACCTTTCCAGGCACAGCTCTGCGGTTCAGTGGACACAGCTACCTCTGGTACCATCACCAGGGGAAAAGGGACTGGCAGATGCAGTTCCGATTGCAAACTCACCAGCAGCAGGCGGTCCTTCTCACCACCAATGGAAGCAACAGTGCTGTCCTGCAGGTAGGATTCTGGGATCCTTACCTTCTCTCCCCTTTTATGCATTCATTTTGTTTCTGTATGCCCCAGTAGGTGATGCTCTCTGGACAGTTCATAAAAACAGTGGCATAAGCTTTGCAAAATACACACATTTTAAAACAAAACTGAAAATAGCTTCCTTGCTGATCCGCTGCTCTTTGACATGCAAATGAGCCACTAAGCAAGGAAGAAAGTGCAGTCTCCTCCATCCATCTATCCACCCCCACAACCCACTTAAATACTGGTTTCTGCTCAGCACTGTATTTGATTGTCTTGCTTTGCACACCTCTGAGATTGTTTTAAATAGTAAGCTGTATATAAATCTATTAAATAAACACAGAGAAACAAGGTTGGCTCTTATCCTGGCCACACAGGAAAGAACATTATTCAATCCTGGCTGACTGCCCTTATTATCTCAGTAAGAATCTGTGTTTTTCATGTGGGGATGTGCTGAAATAAGCTGTCATGAACCGTGCAGCTGACCTGGATAAATGAATAGGGCTCACACACATTGGATCAAAATGGGTGCAGATGATTTTATTTCTTTAAGTTGTGTTTGCACCACTTGTATTGCAGGATTTCCAAGTTGTGCACATAAAAACACATACGATGCAATAAAAAGCTCAGCGTACAACAATTAATACCTTTAAAACGTTACATGAAAAGCAGGAAAACAGAGTGGTGTCAGGATCGTTTGCAAGTCAGGGAAAGCCTGATTAAAGAAATGTCTTTACAACATGCCCTTGAACCTTGCCACAATTTCTACTTCTCAGACTTCACATGGGAAATCATTCCAGAGAGTGGGTGCCACAACCAAGGCAAGCACTTTTGCCTAACACTCCTCTGTTGGTCATTGAAAAACCGAAAGGGTCTCCGAAGATCTCAAAGCCAATTTGGTGCGTACACCAAAGGGGAAGACAGTTCACTAGATATCCTGAACCCAAGTTGTGCACATCCCTGATCAGTGCCCACAACCTTTTTCTTTTCTTCTAAAGCAACAGTAGGAAGACGTATGTTGGTGGCCTCCAATTTTGAGCAGAGCCATGAAGCAGGTGCAGGGGGGGTAGTTAACCCTTCTCCACATGCTGTTTTCCTAGTTACAGTTGTGCTACTCTTCTCCCCAAACCTGCAGTTGCTCCAGTTGCCTCACAGCTGCAGAAGCTCTTTCAGCCCAAGGCCAGCCCCTGTTTTGTTAAAGTTTTCAGGGGTCTTGATTCCAGTGCTCGACAGGGCTGAGAAAAAATGGGTGAGGCCAAACACCAAAGGAGTGGAGAAAAATATCAAAACATCCAGCCTATTTTACCTTTATGCTCCTACTTCCAGTAACTAAACTTTAGAAAAGCTATTTCAACCTTTTAGAGAGCGAGAGAGTGCGAGAGTACAGGGAGGAAATGCACAGAAGCCTGGAACCCACCTGAGTGGTTGGTGTGAAAGAAGGGGAGGCAGAAGAAGGGGTGCGGTCGAAGGGCCAGTTTGGGGCCCCAGGAGGGCATGTTCTGCACCCTGGGGATCAGGAGGGAAAGTCTGGCCTTGCAGTGTGCTGTACCTTTGAAGAGTCATGACAGCAGGGATGCTAGAGGGCACTGCCTATGGGAGCGTATCCACTGGCTGCCCGTTGGTTTCTGGGCACAACCGAAATTTTTGTTAATCATCCCTAGAGTACCAAATGCTTTGGGATCAGAAAAGCCCTGACCCCAAAGCCCTTCCCCTACCAGTCAGCCCATTCCCCGAGATCCACTGGGCATGGTCCTCTCCCTTGTCTTGGCTGGTCGGGCCAAGGCAAGGAACATTCTGTGCGGCCACACCTTGACTCTGAGACACCTTCCATCAAAAGGTCCCTTTGGAGCCCCCTCTCTTTGCCTTTCATTGCTTGGCCTCACCATGTTTATTTTGGCAGGCGTGTGTCCTGCCACATTCAGTTTCTTTTCAGCTAAGCTCTTACTTTGGCTGCACTCATCTGCTACCTCCTTCTGTTTAATTGATGTGCACTTGTCCTTATTGGATGACTTTGGTTGCCTTATTGTTTCTCACATGGCTGGCCGCAGCTCTGAGCGATGCAAATGCACAGCGAGGCTGGAACATAAATCCTCCCGCTGAATTTATCAATCACCTTCTGGCTATGGGACAGCATACACATGTGATATAGATAGATAGATAGATAGATAGATAGATAGATAGATAGATAGATAGATACTGCAGATAAATAAATATTGTGCCAGGGAAGTTCAGGTTCCTGCCCAGTCTCTCTCCATCTAGCGTTAACAGCTGTCAAAGGAGGCTGAGCCCTCCTTGTAGTCTATCACACTCCTCAGCTGCCGAGATTTCACCACCGCAGACTCCTCTCAGTGAAGAAGAACATGCTGCAACAGGCGTGTGGCTGCATCTATTGTGATGACACATGGAGGGGGATGATTAATCACAGGGTTGCCTTCTACCTCTCTAAGGTTTTCGAGCCATCATGGGAAGGCAAAGAGCCAAAACGCTGAGCTAATTAAAGCTTTTCAGGGAGGCCGATGACAGTTTGCAATTATTCTGCATAGTTAATTAATTTTCCAATTACTTTTTAGACTGTTTGCACAGTAAGCATGCGCTAAAGGTATTCTGCTGTTCTCGCTCTTTGTTGACCTTGCATTTCTCCTGACAGATCCCTGTGAACAGACTTTTGACTGAGGGTGTTCCCCAAGGAGGCTGTCACTCTGCAAGCGCCCTGCCTCATTCATGCGATGTTACGGGGTCCCAGGCATCCTCATTTCACAGCCTTGCTGGACTTCCCTGCCGCTTGTTCCAACTTTCCCCAACCTGGTGCCCTTCAGAGGTTTTGGACTACTACTACCAACAGCCCCCAGCCAGGGCTAGCTTGGGGCTGCTGGGTTTTGTAGTGTAGCACATCTGTTGGGCACCAGATTGGGAAAATCATTGCTTCCTTTCTGGAAAAGAAAGTTAAGGAGATAAAATAGGATTGACACACAATGCCTTTCACTATTAGCCCTCGATCCTGAAGTCCCCTGAAACTGATGGCTGGCAGAGATTGTTCTTCATTATGGGATGGAATCCCCAGCATTGCTCTGGCTTCTCAATCTAAGCCCAGGGTTACTGGGAGTGTGCTAGAGAGGTGCTTGTACTGGGAGGGGAAACTAACATAAGGAGTGATTTTTTAAACAACAGGTTAAAATATTGATCAGGGATCCCTGGTCAGAGGCTGTAGCCCTTCCTCTGGAGCCTAGCATGGCTCTTGCTCCTGGGTCACCAAAGTGAGAAGAGTTTGCCCCCTTTCTGGCATTCTGGGAGTGAGGCTTTCATGGGGTCAAGGAAGGCGCCTCAGTGGTCAGACGGCCCCCTCTGAGGGCAGACCCTCCTATCCCAGGTTGAATGCTGGGAGGCAGACTAGAGCTTCATTAAATTAATGCAGACAAGCACAAGAGTCAGCAACACAGACAACAAAGTCTCACTGGCCACCTGTAACTCCTGAGCATCTTGCTTGTCTATTGTGAGCTTCATATTTCCAAAGCCTTTAACCCAGAGGAGATAGCATGATCTCCAGACTCTGACGTGGCCCCTTCCCAGACACCTTTCTTGTCACCTGCCCAGGTACCATACTCCTCTCACTTAAAACAAAAAACTTTTTTGGCAGCTGTTGGTCCTGAAAGCCATGGGTTCAAAAGAGTTGTTTATTGGGGCACAGACCTTTCCTCTGGCTCATATTGAGTTTTCTGGGCAGGTTACTCATCCTTTGCCATGCCTCCCATGGCAGCCATTTTGTGGTAGTGCCCACGAGGACTTGTCAAATTGTTCTATGTGCCTGTACACACCCTTCAACTACAGGTTAATCCCTGACCCACAGCCTGATTTTATTTATGTATCATCCTGATCACCAAATCAACACCAATGGCTGAAGCAATCTTTACTCAGCCTGGGAAAGCCTACGCTCAATGACAGAAGTCAAACCCAGTGGTCACCATGTATGTGTGGAAAAAGTAAGGATGAGTTAAACAAACAATGTTTTAATTGAGCATAAACATCTTTTCAAAGTTATTGCACGTAACTTGCTCTTCCATGTACAACTGATGCAAACGGTAACAGATTAGAAAGACGGAGAAGGAGACTTAGTCAAGCACAAACATGTGAACCCCTGAGTTTATGTTTCCCTCGATGGATTTCATCACTCAAGACTTCTTGCCAGAAGCAGGAACATTTTGATCTGATATCACCCTTTCTTGGCTGTACCTTCAGAATCTACATGGAATTCAAAAGTGTGCTTATCACGACCCCGCTTGGTAACTGCATCATGTTGCTTTCACGTGCTGGTCACTCAAAGATAGAAATGTAAACTGATGCAGGAACTTACTCACTTCAGAATTTTAATATTTCTTTCACCACTGGTGTAGTTTGCTCCTGCATGATAACTTAATTGAGCTCATCAGTGAGTTAATGAAGTACAACTAGGCTGCATTCCTATATTCTCTTACTTAGGAGTAATCTTTTTGAATGTAATGGGATTTACTCCTTAGTGGACTGTTAGTAGGTAAATAGATAATGTTTTAAGCTTTTTAATCGTTTTAATCCCATGCAGTGTCTGTTGATTTAAGGCATTAATTTATGCATGTCTATATTTAGCATACAATCTATACAAAGTTTCACATATTTTAAATCCTTTTTTTTCAATGGAAGAACTACACACTCTGTTCCAACAGAATCAATGGCATCTCGCTGTACTTAGCTTTGGCTGAATTTTATCTTTCATTTGTGTTTTTTCTTTCATCCTTTGCAATGGAGTTAGCAGCTCCGTCATTAAGAAAGTAGCTTCCATCCACAACGATTTAGTAAATCAACATATGAGTTTGTTGTTATGGTATTTTTATATGTCTTCCACTTTGTTGGTAAAACTGCTCAATATTGCTTATAAATCATATAAATTATGCACAAATCAAAGCATTATAAAGACCTGCACAAGAATAGAAATGCAAAGCCAACAATAGAAGGACTTTAATCAAACCATTAATTACAAAACCATTTTGTAACCATTTACAAAACTTACAACAGACTTCCAAAAACTTTCCTAGAAATAAATACCTTCCATTTACTTGTTAAAAATGGGCAAACTGGGTCTTAGGCAGTCCTTATTAGGGAATGAATTCCACAAGGATTTCCAGCCAAAACCTCTGCAGCCCTCTATAAGTTTTAGTGGCTAGGAAACGGGGGCATATCTTAGTGGCAGAGTTCCTACTTGCATCCAGGAGGGTTCCTGGTTCAGGCCCTGTTTTGAAGAAACTGGTAAACATTCATGTGAAAGGTCTCTGTTTGCCCAAGGACTTGGGAGATCCACTGCCAGTCAGGGCAAACAATACTGAGTCAGATAGATAAATAGCTGAACCTTACCATAAAGCAGTTCCCTATATTCTCAAAGGGGGAGGCGTTCCCTATGTTACATGTGCAATCTAAATGATCAAGAAAGGTTATCCTCTCTGGGACTATCTGGCTTAGGAAAAAGGGGCTGAGCATGAAGAAACATGATGGAGGTGTACAACATCATGGATGGTGAGGAGAAAGTGGGTAGGGAGGTATTTTTCTCCCACTCTAACAGTATTAGAATGCAGTGGCATAGAGCTTTCTAGTGGGAGATCTGAGATAGATAAAAGGAAGTGCGTCTTCGCAGAGCATATACAGAACTGTGGAATTCACTTCCACAAGGAGTAGTGATGGCCACCGCTCTGGGTGGCTTTAAGGGAGGGTTGGACACGTTCCTGGGGCAGAAGGCTATCACCTGCTGCTAGTCCGTATTTTTATTTTAATAATTGTATTAAACTAACAAAAACAATACAATTAGTATCACAACAATGAACATAATTAAACATTACTAATAAAAATAATTTAAAAAATACAACAATACCAGTGCTACCTCCACCAGGACCACCAAATGAAGTCCCTTTTTGTAAGATCATTTATTCATTCGGGTTGCCCCACTTCCCTTTCAGAACTGCATTGACTCTCGTGGTGGTTCACACCCCTTTCTGTTTATTCAAACATATTCAATCAATGGTCTCCAAATATTTCCCATTTATGTTTATTTATCAAACCTTTTTCCATTTAATATCACAAGTTAACTTATCATTAGTAGCTCTATTCCAGACTTCTTTATACGGAACGATTTGAAAGAATAGCAGAACTGCAGCCAGTCCTGATGGCTACGTGCTGCCTTCAGCTGCTGGAGAATGGGGGCAGCCGGATGCCATTGCGCTCATGCCCTGCTTATGGCATCCCAGGGATGACTGGCAGCTGTGCGAACACAATTTTGAACCAGATGGAGCATGATCCATTTCAGCACATCTCTTCCTATTTATCATATTTTTATTTTCCCTTGTATAGAAAAAAGCCTATATAGTCCTTCTCCTTTCCACTGTCAGTGTCACCACAATCCTGCAAGATAGCTTAGGCTGAGAGAGTGGGGACTAGAAGCTACTTCTCCTGAGTCCCAGTCACACTGTCCTATATTCTTAAGTTATGTGGGGCCCTCTCTGTCTATATCAGAGAACCTACAGTTGGGCCTTGAAGCCAGCCAACGTTCGAAGTGGTAGAGTGAGAATAGGAGGAGCCATAAAGGTTCTTACTGGTCCTGCTCCCATCTAGATCATATTGGTCAAGTTCCCATTAAGGGCTGACTGCCAAGAAGCCACATCTGGCATCAGCCGTGACAACAAAGTGGTTTTAAGCATTTCCAGAGTGAAATAGAAAACAAAGTGAGCACAGCAAATGTCAAATTAACTGTCAGGGGATTCTTCTGTGGTGACTTCTTCCTTCTTCCTAGATTCCTGTGGACTGTGATTCTTTCCCTGTAAGCTGTCTAGGGCTGCAGACCTGCACAGCTGATCTGCTTGATTCCAAGTGGAGGCAATGTACAAGGTTACAGACTGTGTGCAACTCTGAGGCTTTTAATTTCTAAGGAGCTCGAAAAACTGTTTATTACCTTTGTTCCACCCTCTCTATTCCCTCTTATTGGGTAATGTATATGTATGTTTTGACCTGTAGTAGATTGCTTTTTATCCAGGTCCACCTATGGATTTCCTTAGAGGTTCTCCTATCATTGCTGCATGAATTGGATTGGATTTTCCACTTAAGCTGTATTCTACTGGTAGCGCTTGTTCTGCGAGCTACAGATCATTCTTGGAAGAAGTACTCAGCCACATAGTTTTGCTGAGTGAGATCTAGACGCATCGTTCTGCCAGTGGAGGGATCCCCCTTGCAGAATGGGACTTCTGCAGCCCCTGGGTGCCCCAGTCCTCCAGATCATAGTTGGAAGATACCTAAGAGGGCTGCAGGAGGAAGGAAAGGATATAGAAGTACTATTCAGAAAGCGCTATCTGCCTGCAAATCTGGATTCAACACCTTGACTTAATTCCTTGGAAAGAGGATCACTCTCAGTTTGCCAATTTAAACATAATGATCTGATTTCTGCAAATTCCAGTAGACTGGCTCCTTATTCACACCACCTGATTTGTGTGGAGAGACCGTCCTTAAGAATCACAGAGAAGGATTTTCCCCCCTTGAGATCTACATAAAACTGTAGTGCTCTCACTACCACCACCCCAAGTCTTACTATGCCGCAGCCTTTGGCAAGAATAATCTTGGGCAACCTAATGCTTGCCACCACCCTTCTGACACAATGAAGAAGACATCTGTGGGCTTCTGCTCTGTGATCCCATTGTTTTTCTCACGGTGGCACATAAGGGAGGTTTAAGCTTGTGGATATATAAAAAGGGCTTGCCTGTTTCCAACTTGCTGGAAAGTAGCTGACTTTAACAGCAGGTCTTTTTGTCTGCTGCTGTTTCTTCTCTGCTGGCTCTCCCAGTGCAAAACTGTCAGCTGCCTTTCCCTGATCAGATTCTGTCATCACTCCTTCCTGGTGCCAACTGAGGAGCAGTTCCAAATAGGCAGCAACTTGCACAGTAGAACTGGGAGGGTGGTTGAGGTTATGCAGGCATCCTGCAGGCAAACATTCACCTGATCCCAGCAGTCAAGAGATGACTTGAACACTGGCATTACCGCCTTTGTTGCAGGCTGGAAGTGGCAGTATTCGACACCTGTACGGTAGGGTACCATATATGACTTCAGTCAGCACCTGGCGAACAGGTTACTTATTTCCATGTACTCACAATAGGGGAGTGATTAATGATAAAACATCCTCCTGAATGGTTTTGCCACAATAAAATTAAAAAAAATAACAGCAGCTGTTGTGCATCAAGTGTTTTGATAGAGAACTCATATTCCCCCTTGATCTCCATGCTCATCTAAAAAGGAAGTATGCCACAATATCATTTATCAACCATCTGGATCCCTGAGTCATTAAAGACGACTGGGATAATCAAGTGATGGACAAAACAGCAGTGGGGGCCGACTTCTGTATCATTGCCTCACAGGTCTGTAGGATGCTTGCAGACAAGGCTTTGCTGCACCATCCTGACATCTAGCTGAGTGTCCAGATGTTGTTGTCTTCCGTTCAGAACCCTCTTGTGTTTTCCCACTGCTTCATCCACCATTTTTAACACATAAACTCTGTTAGGGAGAAAAGTGAGAATTTGCTGCACAATGCCTTCTGATTCATAGCACCAGGAGCTGTTCCATGAAGAAGCACGCCTGGTCTGCCCCTTAGCCCAGGCACCCCCCCCCCCATGCAGACTCTGCAGAAAGCTTTTTCTTGTTTCTTCTGAGTATTTGAGAATACATGTGCATGGAATTGTGTGCATTCACAGTAATGAATACATATGAAATGCACACAGCATGTTCATAGGCTTTAATAAAAGTAGACCAAATATCCAACTCCTTGTCCATTTGAAGGTGGTGTCTCTATGCCACCTGTTCAGATATTGAAAGCATTGTAAGGTCCTTAATTTATTACACTATAGGAAGTGTGTGTTTTGTTTGGGTTGTCAGAAGAACTTGGAGAATCCATTTATGGTGACCTTTTGTTAATTTCCATGAAGTGGGTAAATAATTTAAAAAAGCATGTACATCAGTGAGAATTAAAGACTGTTTCAATACTATTTCTGTCTGGGTAATAACCTCTTCCCCAAAAGAAGCAACTATTGGACATCACTGAAATATTAGCTGTATTGCACTGCAATTATTAGCAAAATTAGACAATGTACTGTATTAAAGAGATGTTAGGATGTCCAGTATATATGAATCAAAAGTTTCTGCTGAACAAGCCATAGCCTCAGTTCCATAGATGTGACAGGGAGACAGACACTAAAGTGATGATCAACTGTTTAGGAATTTGGGTGGTATGGATAGTGTTTTATCAAACTCTCAAATGTGTCCATGGGTACAAAAAGATGGAGGATCCTTGCCTTACAGGAATATGATGGTGTGTGCATGTAGTAGTTAGTATCTATTAGAATCTTAATTTCAGTGAAGGCTTTTTTCAACTGAGGAAAAGTCAGGGTTACATTGCCAAACACAGTAATGGCTGGTAAATATTTCACTAAAGTCTTATAATGAAATGAATTAATGAGCTTTATTTAGCATCCTTAGTTAGTAAAAGATTAAATCTTGACCATCGTATTTCAATGGATATTTTCAAACAAGACTTCCATTTGTTTTGCTAAGTGAAAAAAAAAATCTGTTGAAACCCTAAAAATTGTGAGCTGGATCCAGCAATGGACCGCTGCACCTAGAAAGCTATTGCTTATGGCACTAGACCCATGTTACTTCTCCCCTGCCTTCCAAAGCAACCCATGTGTCCCGCAGATCTGCCCCAGAAAGTTGTGGGACCATCCAGAGGAGGATGCATGGGGGGCTGCAGGGGAAAGGAAAACATGCAAATTGTCCCATTTTGTGTTTGCCTCTCATTTGCATGTGTTTGATCCAGACTTTTAAAAAGACTGAAGAGAAAAAGAAAAAAAGAAAAGAAAGGTGTGTTAAAGACCCTGCTGGCTGTTTGGTTATCTTTTTCAGCTTGTTAATGGAAGGCCTCATCTCGGGTACAGATGTCGGAGCGGTTTCAGTGGCAACCTTTCATCCAGCCAATTTGTGAGTGACAGCACTTGGCACTCCGTCCTCCTGGAAGTGAAAAGCCATTCCATCCGTTTGCTTGTTGACGGCTCAGGAAATGCCTCGCTGCAGCTGCCCGAGGCCTGCACCGTTGCCCATTCCCGGCGAGACCTGCTCGTTGGAGGGCTCGTGCGGCATCATCAGGCTCAGCGGGTCACTGGGGGCTTTCGAGGTTGCCTGGATGCCATTGCAATTGATGGAAGAGAGCTGCTGGTTCTGCCCAAGGAAAAGCGGTCCAGAGGAGTCGTTGAAGAGGCAGGCATCCGGCAGTGCTGCCCTCACACCGGCGTCTGCAGCAGCAGCCCCTGCCTCAACGACGGGCTGTGCGCGGAGATGAAGGATGGGGGTAAGCAGCGATACACCGTGTGTGAGCGGTGGGAAAGGAGAGCAGCTCTCATCGGGGAGATAATGTATTAGTTTATCTATGCATGAAACTTATATCCCACCTTTCTTCCATCATGGAATGCAAGGTAGCTACATGCAATTCCCAGGTGGTCCTCCCTCCAAGACCCAGACCAAACCATCAGCAAGGGGGCTGCCCTTGCCTTCAGACCATGCCCTGGGAGCATAACCATGGAAATTATTACTATTACATTAGATTGCATTACTTTTATACCCCTCCTTTCCTGCTTTGGGAAGGAACTCAATACAGCTGAGAGGCTTCCTCTTCCTCTCTGGCTTACCCTCACAACAAAAATTATGCTGGTATTCAGGGGGGTTGACCCCACCTCTTCTATCCTGCCCACCACAGGAATGAGGTCCTGAAAGCCTCTTCCAGATGGAATGTGGCCCTTGGACTGAAAGAGGTTCCACACCCCTGTTCTACGCAAACCTGCTTAACTAGTAAAACATTTGGCCCAATCAGAACTCCGGTTTATGAAGTCAGGAACAATGTGTAAGGGCCACATGCCCACTCTCTTGGTCCTCCTCTTCTCCTGGATTAATTTAGATTACCAACATGAAAGCCTCCAGTGTAACAAGGAACGGTGCTTTAAAACAACCCAGGATCTCTGTGCAGACCCAACCCTTGCCTGAATGCGCATTGGCCTGGGCCGCTGTGGTGTTCCTTGTGATGCATCTGTGTGATTAGTGTGTGCTTCTCCCATCTGCTGGCCTTCCTGTTAGTCCAGAAGTAACTGATAGTGCCCAACTTTTAGCACGACTGGGAATATTTCTGATGTTTGATGTTCTATCATTTAAATGTTAGGAAATGTACAGTTTGCATCCATTTGTTCTTCTGGGCAGGAATGAAGGCTTATTCTCCAACCTGTCTATCCATTCATCCATCTGTCTGTCCACCCCTCTATCAATCCCTTATCCTAATATTTGTATTCCTTTGCCATCCATCCTGCAGTAAGTTCTGAGTATCAGAACCATCCTGTTTTATCCTCATGACTTTACAAAACAGGTTAGGGTTGAAGAAAGTCACCCAATGAGTTTGCTAAATGAGGATGAATCTGCCCTGCACCTCCCTGTGCAGTGTCAACATTCTAATGTCTACGCAACAGTGGCTCTTTGATGTTTGGATAGGACACTTTTTCAGGATGCTTAAGAATTTAGTCAGATGGTTATGATGCTTGATTGATCTGATTTCTATATTGCTCAATAGCAAAAGCTCTCTGGGCAGTTCACAACATTAATAAAAATACAAACCACAACACAATAAAAACTGCATAAAATATATAAAATGTAAAACAATTTGAGAAGCTGGAGCAATTTTTAGTGAAACTGGACCAACATAAAGTCCTACTTATACCATTAATATGCTATTGTATTCCTCAGAAAGGAGGGCAGCTTTAACCTGGCCCTGAAAAGATAACAGAATATCAGCAGGGAATTCATTCCATAATGCGGGCCACTACTGAGAAAATCTTCTTTCTCGTTGCTGCCTTCTGAGGATCCCTCAGATGTGGAATATGACTCCTAGGTAGATTCAGGCCAAAGGATGCCCTTCATCAGTTTTCATGGTCCCAGGCCTTGTAAGGCTTTGTAGATTAGAAGCAGCCCCTTGAATTGGGCTCTGAAATATAATGACAATCAATGCAAGCAGGCCAGAATTGGTGTTACATGTTCAGACTAGGTATATGGAGAAATCCATAGTAGGGCTGGGAATCCAGTGGGTTCCCTGAGCTTGGCTTCCTGGTCTCCAGGCTGCTTTGCCACAGCCGAGTCCACATTTCTGGCAAGCGTGCCCAGCATTCACGGGGGGGCTGCCAGAAATCAGGCCCTGCGTGACTGCTGCGCAAGCCGCAGCAGCCCTCTTCCACAACTCCAGCCAGCAGCCGTTGTGCTGCTGCTCCGGGCACAGAAGGAGCCTGCCGGTTGTGAAGCCTTCATTCTGCACAGTCTCACGAGCGTGAGCAGACCTCTTCTCCATTCAGCTCACTTTGTGAGACAGGACCGAGCACAAGAGGAAATGCTAAAGCGGCAAATCCTCATGAGTTTTGTCCCCATCTGAGGTTAGACCTTCAGTTCCCTGCTATTTTCCTGGCTGCTGCATTTTGCAGCTTCCAAATAGACTGTAAGGGTGGCTCATGCAGACTGTATTGCAGTAATCTAATTTGGACTTTATCTTAGCCTGGACTGCTGAAGCCAGGCTACCTCTGTCCAGACAGGGGTGAGCTAAACCACCAGCTGAAACTAGAAGGCACTCAGCATCATAATGCTGAATACCAGCTGCATTTATTTTCTTCATCATCGATTATTACATTGCTATTACTGTTTAGAAGATTTATGTCTTATGTGATGGAGAGAGAGCTGTCTGACCACAGACCGGGGGCCCAGAGGGTGGCCTGCAGTCCCTTACAGCATGTCCCGCTAATTCCTGAACCATCAGGACTAGAAAGCAGTGGTCTTGGGGCTGACCTACCAGGTGGCAGCTCCTTATTCCCTGAACACCAGCCTCTTCCCCATTATAGGTAAAATACGCGGCAGAAGGGACAAGGAGGGTGGAAAGCCTGGCATTTGCTGGCCTTTGCTACCAAGGGGGAGGGAATGTATGAGTATTTTTCCCTGTGGCAAGTGAAGAGGAGTTCAGTCACTAGGAGATTTGGGATGGGAGGACCAGAGAAACCTAATTTGTCTTGTGAATATTTTGGAAGGCAAGCTGCAGCACTGGGGAAAGGGCTAACCTAAGGAGTCGGGAACTGTTCAGAGTGGGTGGTAGCTGTGCGGAATGCAGTGCCGGTGATAAAGGAAGCACCTTGCATTGTTTTGCACACCTCATAGAAACATCTCTCTTTCAGAAAGTCTTCCTTGACTGACCAGCCATGGTTTTTATTGATACTGTTTTATTCTTTTTGACCATTTTTTTTATCGCTCACCACTTTGGAATATGTGTACATGTAGAACGGAATATACATTGCGTAAATAATGAAGGCAAACCAGATGAGAAGAGATAGCCCCTTAGGATGGGAGGATAAAGGGACTTTTTAGGGTGAACTTAACCATGACTTGGAGAAAAATTAATCTTACTGCTGTCCTCTTTCCCAGCATGATCAGTCACTTCTCTGTAAGCTAGTATGGATATGGTCAGGTGGGACTATTAGGGCACAATCCTGTGGGCTCCCAACATTGTTGGGGGCGGGGGGAGATAGGATTATTTAGAGCCCCAGATCCAGCATTCTGCAACAACTTGAAGCTGAGGCTCTAAAGCCCCCCCCCCCCGCACCCCCTGCAGTTACCACAGAAAGGGTGGCTTCAGCTGCCTCCCTGAGGTCACAACTGGGCCTTGGAGAGGCAGAAAAGGGGCGTGCGGGGGGGCAGGGAGGGGGCAGCTGGGCTGGTAACTTACCCCGATTCCCATCAGCATCCCAGCCTCCTTTCCTCCCCACCCCTTCATTTTCATCTTCGTCTGGAAGCCGAGCACCATTGCCTAGGCAAAATGCACAGTGCGAGGCACAGAGATACTCTTGCCACCGCCGCCTCGCTCCGTGCACTGGTGGCGTTGGCTGCACAAAGCTGCGAAGGCTTGGGCAGAGGGCACTGGATTGCGTCTCTGTAGCAACTGGCATGAATTGCACACGGTATCCCATTTTTCTGGAAATGGGGAAAAAAGAAATCGTAAATCCAACCTGAGGCTCTGGTACACTACCATTACCATCACTTGTACCTCGCCTTTTGCGTTCTCTCGCTTGGTACCCCCATCGGAGGAGCCTATCCCAGCTTCATGTCTGCGGGCGTAAGTAACACATCTGCAAATGCAGGAGCGGCCCAGCAGAAGTACTCCGTCGTGCGAGGTGCTTCTCCGCCCTCAGAGACTGTTCCTTTCCCTGTACTGGTGTGGGCAGGGAAGATGGGTGCACATGCCTCTGATCCCAGTGGGCAGCGATGGGAGACGTGTGCGGAGGAGCTCCGGCAGCCGCCTTCACTTGGCCTGTGCACCTCTTTTATTTCTGTCTGAAGCCTGCTGCCAGGCTGCATGTCCCGCCAGGTGAGCAGCTAACAAAAGGCAGGGAGTGCACGACTTCCTCTCCTTTGGATCACTGCGAGAAGATTAGGATTCCTTCAGCTCAGCAGGTGATAAACCTGTTGGGCAGCAGTATTTGCAGAGACAGGTTGTGTGTGTCCTCAGCAGATTTACATGTACTTCTGTGACACACAGTGACAGTATCCTTGGGAACGTGCCTGTGAATGTGAGTGTGTGTGTGCGCTTGTACAAAACTGCCCTTGGAATGTGCACACTCGTAAAAGTGTAAGGCACAGTAGGACTGTTCCAGAGTGCCAGCAACTGGCTGGAACAGCATCAGGGCTCGTCACTGAGCACAGACAAAGCACATTTTTAAATACCCTTCAGCTGGACTTCTGTGTTAGGAAATCCATCATGCTGCAGGGAGGGGCAAAAAGTGAGGAAAGAAATAGCAAGGGATATGAACTCTGCAAAACAGCATGCTTGCAACTGTAGAGTTGGGTGCATAGAAAATGTGTTTTCTGATGAACTGAGGGCAGTAGAGAGAATGTGTTGCTTGGATCCACTTCAGTAAATGGCTAACAAGCATCTGGCCCTTTATTGAATAAATAAATGTATTTATCTTAAGTTTAATAGTAAGTTGTGCATTCATTATTAAATAAATTAAATAAATATAAATAAATTATATTTAGTATTTATTTAAATTATATAAAGTATATTCTGCTTTCATACGTAGTTACTGCCCATCCCAGCCACTTTGTAAAATTAGTTTTCCTCTTGCTTGTTTGTCCCTTTTGCTAGGTTATTCTTGCATCTGCCCCGTGCAGTATTCGGGATCCCACTGTGAAGTGACTGAGAGCGTTTGTGAAGGCAAGCCCTGTCTCCATGGAGGGACTTGTGCCGTCTCTGAGAAGGGCGGCTACATCTGCCATTGCCCAGAGTGGTACTGGGGACAAAGGTAAGAATGCCCTTTGAGTGCCGCCCACCCCCACGCGCTTTGTTTGGGTCACACAAGAACCTGCATTAAACGCCTTGGGCGCTTTTGCATGCTCATCACAATGGCGAGGAACGGCGTCTGTTCTGGGGGGGGGGGGGTAGTGATGAATCCTGTGCTGCTGGGGCTCCTCGTCCATAGCAGCTTTTCCTTAGGGCGGTAGAGGAGCTATCTGTGGGGCTGACCCTCAACTCCAGAGTAGGACCACCACCACGGAGCACCATGGCTAACTTGTATAATGCTGCAGTGGAGGAGGAGCCCCACGGACCTAAGAGTCACCCGTGTCCCTGTTGCACGTGCCCAGACGGTCCATCACGTAACAAACATAACTTGGCTTGCCGCTCATATGCACCACGGGTCAATGGCGTCAGCCGACACATTCATCTTCAAAGGGGGCTCAAGCAGGGGTGCTCATTTTTCTGGGCTGACTACTGTACCTGGGATAAATATAATGAAGTGCAGTAACCTGATTCTGTTTGCTAGAATCAGCCCTTGCTCACCTGTTAAACAATTCTAAGAACCAGCCTTCCCTTCAGATGTGTCAAACTGCAATGCCTATCATCCCCAGCCTGCCTGGCCAGTTCTTGGGGTGATGTGACTTGTAATGCCAAACATCTGGCAGGCACCAATTTGAGGAATGCTGCTGTGACAATAAGGCCGAATGCCTTTGCTCGCATGAACTTCTCGCCTCTCACTGTGCACATTCCAGACTGCGCGCTGGGATTCCGTCTGTGATTCCGTGATGCCCATCCACCGTGCGTATTATAGGCAGAGAAACATCAGCCTAATTTGAGGAGTGCTTGCACAGGTGGTAATGGATGTTTTGCTTGGTTCAGTACTGAGAATGAGTTGCACTTGGGAGTGGCATGTCTCCAAAGCGTAGAAGCAAACTCAATCTAGGGAAGTCAGGGAAATCTGGAAGGGGTTCAAATGAGTTTGGACTTCTGTGAGTCTGAAATATGGATTACAAAGCATTTTCTGAACCACATGGATTCCCTAGATCAGTTCTTCACCGGAGGTTATTGCACATTAGCACTGATGTGCACTCATGTATTAGTTAATGTGCATTAATGCCAATATGCTCTTATCCATGAGTTAACTAATGCATGAGAAGCAAGAGATGGACTGACTCCATTGAGTATTCTGAACAGAGAAAGACTCTCAGTATGCGATTAAGTATGAGAATCATCAGCTTTTCTTGTTTTCCTGGAAAGCCACCAGCTTAGGAGCAGTCACAAGAATCAAGATCAGTTCCAGGGTAGCTATGCAAGCTGCATGCCAGCACTATGCAAGGAAAGGAAAAGACACAAATGCTCCCCAGGTGGCGCTGGTGCACTAGCACATGAGCTTAATTTTACGGATCGTTGGATACATCTCCTCAGACAGCCTTCCCCTTCAGAGGTGTGGGACTACAACTCCCAGCTGATCAGAGGATGCAGGGAATTCCAGCCTGACCCATCAGGAGAGCACCGGGCTGGGGAAGGCTGGCAAAGGAAAATAAGTGATTTTTCTATTGTTATTCATGATCACGCTTTAAACAAAGACGTTTTCTTCCGCAACCGCCGTTACCACTGTGCAGCTAAGGAGCATGACATGCTCACTTGTGAGATCCGAGTTACGGACCTAAAGAAGACAGGTGGAGCTGTCATAAGCAAAGGAAGTATTTCCCCATTTCAGGTGGTGGTCGCAAAGTTAATAGCCATTGATAGCCAACAATCTTTGGCTGATAAACACTGCCTGGCAAAATCCCTGTTGCCTTTGGGGAAGAGCAGGAAGGGGAGAGGGGAAGCACCACCATCTTGTGCCAAGTCCAGGAGAAGTCTCCTCCCCACAAGGAAGGGGAAATGGCTGAATTTGGAAGGTTATGGGCAGCTACATAGGACTGTCTCCTGATCCTCTCAGTCAGAGCAAACATGCAGGGTAGGATCCAGATTTAAGCTGGTTCCACCACACTGAAGGAAGTGCGCTTCCTTGTCTCTGCTTCCCAGGCCAGCCTCCTGACAGTGCTACACACTTGGGTAGCCCTCCTGAATTGAGTGAGTTGTCGTATGGGAGGGGGGCTAGCCCCAAGACTCATGCCTGGGGACCTTTGTGGGAGGCAGGTCCAGCATCCAACCCCCAACATTTCTATGCCACTACCAGCCAGTGACCATTAGATGGCAGCCTGCCCTTCTAGGATCGCATGAGGTCCATGTCTCTTGACAAGCTGTTGAGACCTTGCTCTGCACCTTTGAGATAAGACTGGCTGTTCATTCTGAGTTTCCATATGCACCATCATGTTCTATTTTAAATCAGTGAATGCCCTGTATTTTATCAACAAAAAAGATGACACCAAGTTTTAAAGAATTATGGGTGGGTTAGATGGAGATTTAGGCATGTGCAGCGGGGGTTCTTCACCCCGTCTTTGCCATGGTAGCTTCCTTACCCCCCCAAGTGCTGCATACAGGGTTATAAAGGGGACATACATAAACAGGACTCTTTTGGGCAAGGTAGGCCGGAAGTGCAGGAGGAGGTGGGCAGTGCCCCCAAATCAGGCATCTTGCATGGGCACCAGTGCCTACACTGGCTGGCAGGGTCACCCAGCTTTCTGTGCACCATTTTCCATGGGCTGGAGAAGCTGCTGAGCAGAGAGGGAAGGGCTTTTCTAGCCCGGTTGCAAGCGGCTACCTCAGCCCAAGGCCTTTTTATGCTAAAATGGGAAAATCTTTGGCTTCCCACAAAGTTCCGTGCTTTTCAAAAGAGACGGTGTATATCTGCGCAACAGACAGCTGTTCCTATTAACTCTGCAAGATGAACATACTAGCAAAAATCATGTGTGGGGAAAGGTGTTTGTTTGGTTTTCGACTGAGTAAATGAACAATTTGTGGCACGTCCTAACCAAGTAAAACATTCTGAAGGATAGCTTGGTTTTTGCAAACCTTGCTTTTCATATTAACATTTGTACTCATGTGGATTGGGCTCTCTGGATTAGACCCCAGGTCCTAGATTCAACTACATTGGGTTTGACCCTTCCGTTGAAGCAAAGCAGCTGCCGATAGCGACAACCAGCTCACGCTATTGGCTTCAGGGGGACCTAGATGCATCTAACTCGAGCTGGACCCAGGTCTTTTATTTATCGTGAACTCTAAAAGGCCTGCATTTTCATAGGGAGTCTCTCGCGCTTGTTTGTCCTGGCGATGTGTTGACTGTCGATTGATACTTCCCATCACCTCCTTCACAGATGTGAAAAGGCTGCCGAGAAGTGCCTGGAGAACCCATGCCTGAACGCTGGGCGTTGTGTGAATGCCGAGGGCTCCACGTACTGCATCTGCACGGATGACTTCCAAGGGGCCTTCTGCGCACAGAAAACGGTCACTCCAAATATTAGCCCATCCAACTGGCTCTTGGCACCTTGGGAGATTGCCATGATTTCGGCTGGTGTGTTCGGCGTCATCACCCTGGTGATAGCATTTGTAATCCACAAATGCTACTGCCGCAAAGTCAAGGCTCACAAACCAGTAGCCAAGGAAGACCCAGACCTGCTCTCCAAAAGCGAATTCTCCAAAAGTGTTGGAGTTGGCACTCAAGGCCTCCCCCCCCATTGAACTCAACATCCTCAGCGACGGGCACCACAAGCATCTCAATGCACTGGACACAGGCAAGCCTTCCATCACACCAGAGTTCACCACCTTCAACACAAGCAATCTCCAAAAGCAGCGGGGTGCCATTGTGTGCAGTGTGGCCCCCAACCTGCCAGTTACTGCACCGTCGTCTAACTCTGATAATGAGTCTGTCATCAAGAGCACCTGGGCTGGAGAAAAGATGGGTTTGTATGACCTTTCTGTCTCCCTTCCCTCTGCTTTTGTGGCGTTCTTCCTAAAGATGCCCTTTCCACATAGTGAGCAGCATCCTATGCTGGTGCTGCATCTCCACCAATACTGTTGCATCAGCAGGAGCCACCGCTAGCACAACAGGAACTAGCGCTCCCAGAAGCAACTCTGGAGATAAGTGGATGCCCTTGTTTCCAAAACAGGACAGGTTGGCAGAGCTGTCCTCTGTGAGCTCAGCTGACCTGCCCCATTCCAGAACTTCTAGCTTTTCCAAGCAGGTCCAGCCAGTGTACAATAGTGTTGAATACTGCCCTTAAGTCCAAGTAGTTGCTGTCCATTTATTATGGGGGAGCCATATGTTTTTTGTTTTGTTTGTTTAGTAACAAAGTCATGCCTGAACCCCCCTGACCCCATGGATAACATTCTTCCAGGCTCTTCTGTCCTCCACTATCCCCCGGAATCCACCCAAGCCCACACCCACCACCCCAGTGACCCCATCTAGCCATCTCAACTTCTGCTGTCCCTTTCTCCTTTTGCTGTCAATCATTCCCAGCTTCAGGGTCTTCTCCAATGGATCCTTCCTTCTCATTAGGCCAAAGTATTTGAGCTTCAGCTTTAGTATCTGACCTTCTAAAGAGCAGTCAGGGTTGATTTCCTTTAACATTGATTTGATTTCTTTGCAGTCCAAGGGACTCGCAGGAGTCTTCTCTAGCACCACAATTAAAAGGCGTCAGTTCCTTGGCGCTCAGTTTTCCTTATGGTCCAACTCTCACAGCCATACATTACAACTGGGAAAACCATAGCCTTGACTATACGCACTTTTGTTGGCAGGGTGATGTCTCTGCTTTTTAGTATGCTGTGTAGATTTGCCATAGCTTTCCTCCCCAGGAGCAAGCGTCTTTTAATTTCTTGGCTGCAGTCCCCATCTGCAGTGAACTTGGAGCCCAGGAAAATAAAATCTGTCACTACCTCCATTTCTTCCCCTTCTATTTGCCAGGAAGTGATAGGACCAGACGCCATAACCTTAGTTTTCTTAATGTTGAGATTAAAGTCAACTTTTGCACTCTCCTCTTTCACCCGCATTAAGAGGCTCTTCAGTTCCTCTTCACTTTCTGCCATTAGAGTGGTATCATCTACGTATCTGAAGTTGTTGATATTTCTCCTGGCAATCTTAATTCCAACTTGTGATTCATCTAGCCCAGACTTTCTCATGATGTGCTCTGCATGTAAGTTAAATAGGCAGGGGGATAACATACAGCCTTGCCAAACTCCTTTCTCAATTTTGAACCAATCAGTAGTTCTATGTTGCTTCTTGACCCACATAGAGGTTTCTCAAGAGGCAAATAAGATGGCCTGGTACTCCCATCTCTTTAAGAACTTGATCCACACAATCAAGGGCTTTAGCATAGTCAATGAAGCAGAAGTAGATGTTTTTCTGGAACACCCTAGCTTTCTCCATGATCCAGCATACGTTGGCAATTTGATCTCTAGTTCCTCTTGATTTCTAGATGCCTTTTACCATGATAGAATTTCAGTTTTAGAAATTTCAGTTTCCCAGCATTTCAAGCATCATATTTTGAGATGGAGAAATGCAATTGGAGTCGGGTCAGTGTAACAAACTAATTGACATGCTTTTACATCAGTAGGCATGAGCAACACAACTCCTCCCTCCATTCTGTGATCTTTCAAAACGGTTGTTTCATTTCCAGTTTGTTAAAAGCTTTCCAGCTGACCTACTCAAGCACAGAAGCACTCAGGTTGTCATTAAAAGAAGCCACACACGCCAGTCTGCCTCCCCACCCCAGTCCCAGCAGTGTCCTGCTATTTCATGACATTTTTTGCTTTTGAAAGAAATCGTGTCTTTTATAGCTTTTTTGCCCCACCTCACACTTTTGCACAAATCTCTCCCATTGTCAAGGGAGATAATAATGCTATCATACCATAGCAAGATTATCCCCCAGTGATTACATGGGGATAAGCTAGTGCACTAATTCGACTACTATGTCCTTTTCATTGTGTGAAGAAAACAGCTGGATAAAAATGGGGCTGGTAGGCCAGTTGCTCAGGCAATAGGCAGATTTTTGTAGCTTTCCACTCGATAACTCTGCCAATTGATCACTATTCTGATTTCCAGAGTCGTCGTCGTTTCCCATAAGGACTGACTTGTGATGGGTCTTGCTATTAAAATGTACAGATCTCAGTGTTCCATGAATAAGAACGTTTGCACATACCAAAGATCAGCTAAAATCTGGCACTTTTCTCTGATTTTGAGATATGTGGCTGTTCTTGCACCTTTGATAAAAATGAAACAGACTGGCAATCATTTGAGGGTGGGGATACCATAGCCTATGATGGATCAGAGGGTCTTCTTCAAAAGGAAACTGCATACAGAGAACCTGAAATCAACTCAAAACAACTGTGTTTAGTAAAGAACAACTAATTGCAGCATTTCAGTCTAGAGTTAATTCTTTAAACTTCTTTGGGTTGATGATAAATCTAACCTGTGATACAGTCCTAAGCCCATCTAAGGATTAATTTCAAAACTGAAGTTAATTACAGTGAGGAGGGAGTTAATGACATGGATTGAGCTGTGGGACCACCTAAGTATTGAGGCCGCTTACAATAGAAAGCCTCATGATTTGAAGCCAAGTTCCCATGTCAAAGACCCATGTCCAAAAAGCTAACTTGGTGTAGTTGTCACGTGGAGGTCAAGGAATCCAACTACGACTCTCACATGCCAGGAACAACGTATTTCAGTAATAACGTCATGTGATGAATCTAAGCTTCATATGAAGCAGCAGACTGACTGGAGAAGCAATCTGAACAGAGGGGGGAAATGACAAAGTCCGCCCTGAGTGCAATATGGAGTTAAGGAGAGATAAGGACCAGAGGCTTAGAAACAAAAACATACTCACCTTCAGAAGAGAAATTCTGCATGTTTTCCGAGCACCTGTGTGGTGTGGCAGTTGGAGGCTCAAACCAGGAGATCCAGCTTCTGGTCCCTGCTCGGCCATGAAGCTCCCTGGGTGACCTTGGTCCATCACTCATTCTCAGCCTAACCTACCTGATGGGGTTGTCGACGGGAATAAAAATGTAGCAGCAGATGAAGGCAGGATATAAATGCAGTGTAATAGTAACAATGGAAATGTTTGCTCACAGAATGTCCCTATGTATAAAGTGATAATTAAGACTGTAAGACTTAAGTAAAGACTTAAGTAAAAGGGGTAGACTGGAGACTTGTTTGGAAGAAATCCAAGTTGCTTTCCAGGGTGATGCAATGGAACTGCGCAATGCGCTCAACATGGGGCTACTGCTCGAAACAGCAACCCCGTGGTAAAGTTTGTTCTCTTAACACATGGACTCACTGCCCCACAGTGACTCACACTCAGCAGTTGAGTACAGGTTGCTGTTGAACTGTGGGGTGTTGTATTGTTTGAATCCAGCCGCAATAACAAGCCATGGTTTAAGAACAAACAACCCTCAGTCCACAACCTAACGACAAACCATGGATTCTCTTCATAGATAACAAACCATGACCAGGTAACACACATTTCAACAATAGCCCACAGTTCAATGTCATCCCACAATCAACCCATATGCAACCCTGGAGGGAGGGTTATTGTGTTGTGTGAACCCAGTCAGAGTGATGTTTTTGAGGTGTAAATTTCCCTGCTTCGGTCAGTAGCCACCTATATGAGCACTGATGATAGCATATGACACTGCATCTTATACAGCTGAGAATTTGTCA